TAGAGGCCACCACTGCCTCCATGTCGCCTTTAGTCACTGCCTCATCCTCTGGATCGCTGCCTCCGCCACCACGTTGTCTCCTCATCCTCCAGGTCATCGCCTCTGCCTCTGGTTCGTCTCCTCCACCAGGTCGCCGTTCCTCAAGCCTTCCGCATCCGCCTCGAGGTCGCCACCGTCTCTTCCTCGACAGATCTGAGGTGAATGGTGATGCTTGATGAATAAATGGATGAAGGTTAGGGTATGGAGTTGTAGAGGGGAAATGGTGGGCCGGATAGGAGTTGTCTGGTCTGGGATAAATTGGGGCTTGGGAGGGGTGGATTGGGGGTTGGGTTGAGTTTGGCCAGATCTGGAGCTAGGGAGGGTGGCTGGGCAGGGGGTGGGTTTGGGGGGATGGGGAGGCGTAGGGGTAGTGGTGGTGAGTGGTGGGCAGAGGTTGCAGGCGGTGGTTACCCTCACCGGCGGAAGATTGGCTGGCTGGAGTAGTCACTGTGCTGACTGTGCCGAAGTCATTGTGCTAACTGTGCCGAAGTCACTGTGCCGGAGTCATTGTGCCAACGTCAATTAAGTCACTGTGCCGACTCTGCGGAATCACTGTGCGGAAGTCACTGTGCCGAATGTGCGGAGTCACTGTGCCGGAGTCACTAAGCCGGAGTCATTGTGCCAAAGTCACTGTGCCGGCTCTGCGGAGTCACTGTGCCGAAGTCACTGTGCCGAATGTGCGGAGTCACTGTGCCGGAGTCACTGTCGCCGGAGTCACTTTGGCCGACGATAATAGTGGCGGTTGTTTGTGGACAGCTGGAGAAACTCTTTCCTATTTTTTAGTATTAAAATTCATTAATTGCCTTTTTATTAAAACCTGGTGCGAACACTTAAACGCATTGGTGTGCGGCAAATAAATAGCCTTGTTCCTTAGTGTGCAACGGTTGTGTATAACAGATGGCAGTCACATTTTTGGACTTTTGAAACTTAACTCACTTTATTAGAAATTCGCTATTTAATAGTAATATTTGAATAAAAAGACCATATATATAAGCCCAATTCTTCTTAAAAAAAGGGAAAACTTCACAAATAGACTAAAAAGCAAGAGTAGTATCACTTTTGTTCACTTTTAAAATACTCCCTCCGTCCCTTATAACTTTGCCAACTTTTCTTTTTTGGATGTCCCATTAACTTTGCCACTTTCCCATTTAAGTAAAGAATTTGTGGTTCCAGTTAATTCTCTCTCCTCTGCACAAACCTCAACCACACAGTTTTTACTTTATTAATCCCCGTGCCGGTCAAACTTGGCAAAGTTATTAGGGACGGAGGGAGTATCTTTCAAAAATAGGCTAGTTAAGTTTCTGTTTTCAAAAGTAGTCATCGTACATGCTCCGTACAACCAAGCTACTGGAGCGTATGCTCCGGCCAGAGGAAGTGCGTGTCTAATAAGCTTCCTTTCTAGTGTCTACATCCTATTTGTTGAATTTATTGATCTTCATGAATTACTCTGTTCACGTTTTTTAATTGAAAAAATATAAATATTTATTAAACTGTAAAAAGATGAACATAATTAAAAATTAATAAAAGTTAAATACGAAATAAAATTAAAAAATAATAAGATCGTGAAATTAAAGGGAAAAAAATCAAATAATGCGTAATAACAAATCGAAGGTGAATACCTGAAATCTAAAAAATGAATATAAGTTTCAAAATAAATCAGAAAAATGTAAAGATACGTATAGACAATTGAAAATAAAAAATTCAAAATAAAAAATGAGAAAGGTTTGAAATAGTTTATAAAGTGGAGAAATGTAGGAAAAAATAGTGATGTTATTTTTAGAAGGCTTCATATACCCCTTAATTTGTATAAAAGTATGTATACGACAATCAAAAATATAAATAATTGAATCTTTAATAAATTAAAAAAATGAAAATATCTAAATAAAAACGAAAAATGAAAAAACTAAAAACTTTCTCAATAAAATGAAATAATAAAAATTAAAATATAAAATGTCTAGAATATTAAAATAAAAATTAAAATTAAAAAAATGTTTTTAACAATATTAAAAATTACATAAAGCTACTAAAAACTCTTGTGAAACAATTATTATTTCAGAAAACCAAATTAGTATAAAGAATAAAAAATTATAAAGTCAATTAATAAATAAAGAAATTTTACAAAGTTTTTTTTACTGGAGAAATTGTACAAAGTTAAAAAATCAAAATAAGTGCTATGATATAAAATAGAAATAAAACATATTTTTTTAAAAAATTAAAAAGAAGAAATCTGTATCAAAACGAAAAAAATGTGAAAAATGAAAATAAATCTAAAAAGAGTTAACCATTGCCACAGCTGAAAAAATTTAAAAATATTAATCTTGTTGTTTAATTTTTTAAATAGTTATAGAATGTAGCAATAGTTATTTTATTATTTTGTCATTTATTTTTCTTGCCTATTGTTTCTTTTTGTTGATAACTTTCAATTTTTTTGTTTCTGTATGTATCATATGGCTAATTTTTATTCAAAAATCCTAATTTATCATTTTAAGTGATTGAGTATGAATTTACATGTGATTTTTTTACTTTAAAGAAGTAGCAAAAATAAACATGAATCTTAATAAACAGTAAAATTCAAAATCACTTATAAACAACAATAGGCAACATGATGCAACCAAAGCAACACAACGCAACAACAAGTAACACTTCTGGAGCAACAAAAAGCAACACAACGCAACAAAAAGTAACACTTCTGGAGCCACAAAAAAGCAACACCACACAGCAAAAAGCAACACTTCTGGAGCCACAAAAAGCAACACAACGCAACAAAAAGCAATACATACTTTTGGAACAACAAAAAGCAACAATAATATACAAAGGGCAATCATCATATAATATAAATGGATTGCACTAGTAGTCACCCGTTAGCATGAGAGCTTACACAACCTAATATATACATGTAGGGATTTATATAAAAATCTGCAAAAATATTTTTCTGTCCTTAAAAGAACATATGATACCTCTAAACTGAAAAAAGATGTTGTTTCAAAATACTCCAGTACAAATGGTCATCTCAAATGAACATAAACTAATGAATTTTAGAATAATAACACATCGGCATCTGATAAAACAATAACATGCACATGTGAGTACTAAAGTCCATAGAAATACAAACAAAATTAGGAAATGGTTCTTTGGCAACATGTTAGATCTCTTGCAAGAGGTTCAGCACATCCAAGGAATGAATAGTGAAGAAGATCACTGAAGTCTTGAACAAAAAGTATAAGGATTTACTAGCAACGGCTCAGGGGAATATAGGATGGACTTCTCATACACATTGATATAATTTAGCGTCTTCCTGGCGTCTTTTAGCTCTTGCTTTAGAGTTCCAAAGTTTGACCCTGACACTGTTGCATCTTAACCCTAAATACAACAATATATCACACCAGGTCTATAAATCACAATAATATACCATTTCAAGTGATGTCATATGGTAAAGGACATAAGATAAGCAAAGAAAGCTAAAATATCTAGTTACAGATGTTCACAACAAGCATTCCATCAATCAAATGCTCATTGTTTGGGAAGCCCCTCCCCTCTTTCCCTTACCTACAATGGAAAAGCAATTCAATAGCAAACAAATATACATTAACACTGACCATCACTACCTAGCTATTAATAACTTCCTTTTCTAATTCAGAGTGTATTATTTTTTCTGTATGGTTCATTTAATATTTGCCTTCACGCATAAAAACACAAAAAATATTAACCTCGAATTCCTATACTTAGAACCAAAGCAACTGCCAAACCACCATCCAAGCCTCATTCCAATGCCTCAGGCCCCACCTTTATTACAACATTTGAAATTTGGTAGAATGGATTAGTTACTGATTTCTCATAAATAGTAATTTGAATTCAGTATGTAAAACTATTGCTTTAATAGCATCTTTACTGACAACAAGAACTAAGGAATTCATCTGCATCTGGCCAAAACTCCACCCTGGCTGAAGCCGCCGCTAGTCCCTAATCTGATTATGGCTCCGTCAAAGTTTATAAGCACAGTAACTGAAGGGTTTCAGGACCTGCAAAAAATAAAAATTATGAGAGCAGTCCCCATTTTCAATACAGAAGACAATTTAAAATAAATTTCCTTTGTAATTTTTTTTAATTATCTAATGTTATCAAAATCATTTCCATTATAAAGATATACTCGTATTAAACAAGGCATAGAAAACGAATCAAACAGATTTCATTCATGAATGTAATGCAAGGAATTATAGTCACACGAGAACAAAGTAAGGCACATATATCTATATAAAATCCTTTACCACATTAGTTTAGACGATGAAGTAGATTTATACGGAGTATTAAACATGTATGAGAGCCTGAAAATTTATCCAAACATGAAAGCCACTTCAAGCGATTAAACTGCATATCTCTGGCACTCTCTATTTCGCACTTGGTGAGAGACAACTGGGTTGAAATTCATCCAACTTTGCTTAATTTTGGCACCAGAGTGATAGACTTGAAGCCCGACGGCGGCAGATTCGAGAAGCGACGACTGACTGACCTAGAAGCAGCGGAAACTGGGTTGAAATCCGTCCAACTTTGCTCAATTTTGGCACCAGAGTGAATTGTAGACCGACGGCGGCGGAGCGGAGAAGCGACGACGATAGACCTAGAAGAAGCGGAGCTATTGTCGAAGGCGTAAGGATTACATCTCCGTCATGGTTGGAGAGAGAGAAACGACCATGCTTTGTGGAAGAGAAAGCTACGAGCAGAAGAAGAGATTAATTGGGGCTCTATTGAAGGATTTGAAGTTTAGACACATTTGAAATAAAAATGTTAAAAGTGAAAAGTGAAAAGGTTAGAGATGAAAGAAAAAAGAACGTGTGTCAAAAATGAAATACGATGAGCTAAAGTGGCTCATTCGGGCAATTTCCACTAAAAAAAAGCTAGACCCACCTGTGTGAGACATAGAATTCGAATAACATCTGGAGAAGGACCTTTGAAGTAGTTTGAACCAGAATTTTACACTTTTTTATCCATTCTACACTTTTCGGTCCATAAATAAAAACGAATATACATTTCCTGGAAACACTCGCACTTAACCTAATCCGTCATTCCCTCACAAAGGCGGTGCGTAGAGAAGGACCTTTGAATAATCTAATTCTCACGCTCAAACCAGTTACGCGAACAGGGAAAGACGTCTTCGAGCGGAGCTACTCTAATGGCCGATATCGTGTTCAAGGTCTCCCCCCATGGCAGAGCAGTGTTCCACAAACTGGAATCCGGAATGGGGACTCCCGAGTCTACCGAACGAGGGACGAATTCGGTTTCCGACAGCGACGAGGTACGATTATAAGCTGTGATTCAATATGATCGTAACGATTCTCCCACCAGATCTTCTTTTTGGCATTCGAATATCGGTTATTCCAATTGGATTCGATTTCAAATTTCTGTATGATTTATTTTAGGGTTAACTAATTTGTAATTGTTTTTTGTCGTCGTCATTGTTTTGTTAGTCGACTTGGAGGACTCTTGTGCTTCCCGCAAAGTATGAACGCTTTAAACGCGTGTTAGAGGGTCGGACGCTAACTGATGTTTTGACACAAGACGCTCTGGAGAAAATGCTGAAGAGGTGGTCCGAAAAAGTACGTCACATTTTTATTTTTTAGACGCGATTCAACATCATATAAATTTTTATCATGTTTGCAATTCCTTCACCAGGGGCTAAAACCCAAGTATTATCGTGATTTTCATGGTTATACATTGAAATCTTCTTTTCTCCCGTGTTTTAGAGACGAAGATATCGAGATTGGCTTTTGAGCAGGCGCCCAGGCGCTGTGCATCCTGTTAAACTTGAAGGACTCAAAGCTAAGGATGCTAAAGAATATGATACCATCCTCTCTATGTGCAATTGGGTTGTTGATGAGCACCATAAATACCGTGTATGCAATTCATCATCATTTTTCTGAGCCAAATATATTATGTGTTTGTCCAGATCTTCTATATGTAACTATTTTAAATGCTATTATCTGTAGCCTGAAAAGTGTTGCGAGTTTGCCAGCGTGGAGAGGGTGAGGCGCCAATTTGTTGAAAATGGTCATTCGTATTACCTTGATTTTTTTGTCAAAGATCTGGAGGCAGATGGCAATCCTTTAGTACCTGTTAAGGCCATCGTTTATCGGAGAGTGCCTGATCCTTTCAAATTAAGCCAATGTCATGGGCTGAAAGCCTACAATAAGTATGTTACTACTTGCGACCTTTTTATTATTGGGCCTTGTTATTATTGGGTTTTTGCATTGTCAAGAAACAAAATTTTGGCCAAGTGCGAATGTTTTGCATCGTTTTATACTCCTTTAGCCTGAAAGCAAGTATACACTTGTTTCTATGACCCAAATTGCATGGTATTTCATTGCTAACAAGTCTGTTCTTTGGTTTCTTTTTACTGCACCCCTGGTATTTACTTGCTACTTTGTAAGTAATACACTTCCAGCGCAGGATGTATTTGTCCTTTGTATAGTGATAGTTACTCCACTCTGATAGGCTCTCGTAATATGTGGTGTAACATTGCATTGGGGCATAAGTGTTTCTTGATGCAATTTTTTTTTTATTTTGTCTTGAATTCTGAGTATATATGTTTTTGTTTTTACGGAACGGGCTGTGCTCACTTTGTGGTGATCAATAATTTCAGGTAGACAGGTAGTACCTCTCCATGAGGGTGTTGGGAACATCTACTTCTGCGAGTGTGCATTTGGGGTTTTGCTCTAAATCCAAAAGTAATAAAAATGTTGAAGGAAATTCTATGTAGCGTGCTATCGTATATATACAATATGTATTGGGGTCATTTTTATATAAACGATGTATTTTGGGCCTCTTGGCCTGTACTTGTAACCCTATTCTCTCTATCATCTCTTTTCTCTCGCCCTAGAATGTGTCGGCCGCCTTTGTCTTCTTCAGTCAACCGGCACCGCAGATTACCACACCAGCATCGTCGTTAACATGGCCACCAACCGTGCTGGCTGCCTGGCCGGGTCCACGGAACTCTTGGAACTCCGTTAGCCGTCATCTACAGGTATGCCGCTCACCTCCCCACCGCAACTCCCTTGCGGCCTTGCCTGCCAACAAGGCTATCCACGTCTATTGTTGAAGCACGTAACAGTCGGAGAGCAGAAACGTGTGCTGCATGACCTGCATCAAAGGGCACTATATCCAGACCTGAATGTGCAATTCATTCTTTCAAGCCTAGAACCTACTCCGATCCATCTACCAGCCATTCTAGCTAGGGGTGGGATCGGTCCGGGTCGGATTTTTGTTAAACCCGGAAATTACCCGTAAGGTCTCGGGTTATGAAAATTTAAGGACCGGAAAAAAGCCCACTATATTCGGTCCGAGTCAGTTTTTTTGCAGCCCGGGTTCGGTCCGGGTTCGGGTTGGGTCGGTTAAAGCCCGAATGTGAAATCATCTCATTTTTCTTTTATATTTTAAAATTTATTTTCAAATAAAATTAATCAAAAGTACAAACCGCAAATAATAACACAAAAATTAGTCTCCAAAATCACCAAGAATTCAAATCCAAAGAAGATGATCATCATGATATTTCGTTTAAGATGCATAAAAATAAATAATATAGGTTTTCTAAAAATGTCACGAAATAAAATTTATGGATAAAAATGTAACTAAGTTATTATAAATATGTTTTCATAGTCATTATGGTAAATAAATTGAATATATTTGTAGTAAGTTAGTAACTAGGGATGGACTCGGGTCGGGCCAACCGGCCCGGAACCGGACCGGCCCGCTACTGTGCGGGCCCGGACCGGCCTAGGGATGGACCCGGGCCGGGCCGGTTCCGGTTCCGGGCCGGGCCCGGGCGGGCTTTTTTTCGGGTTACATGGGCCCGGAACCGGCCCGGGTTGATACCGGGTCCGGGCCTAACCGGGCCGGGCCGGGCCGGGCCCGGTTCAATGTTTTTTTTTTTTTTGACTTTCTTGTTATCTCCCTACCCCCCCCCCTCACCCCCACGCCCCAAACCTCCCTAAAACACCCAGCCCTACCCTAGGAAAAGAAAAAAAATTGAAAAAACCAAAAAAAAAAAAAAAAAATGAACCGGGCCCGGCCCGAACCGCCCGGGCCGGTTCAACAAAAACAGGGCCCGGAACCGGCCCGCCCGACCCGCCAAAACGGGCTAAAAGCCCGGAACCGGCCAACCGGGCCCGGTCCGGTCCGGGCCCGCACAGTAGCGGGCCGGTCCGGTTCCGGGCCGGTTCGGCCCGGCCCAGTCCATCCCTAGACCGGCCCGGTCACCTGGTTCTTGACCGGTTCGGGCCACCCGGCCCGGTGGTATAGCGGTCCGGGCCCTGGCCTCCATTTTAGTGAACCGGCCGGGCCGGGCCCGGTTCGGGCCTCCAACGGCCAATTTTTTTTTTTTTAAATTGGAAGAGGCTCCTCCTAGCCGTTGGGAAGGCTCCCAAACGGCTCTATAGCCGTTGGGAGCATAGGAGGGGGGGTCTGGGGGGTTAGGGGGGTGGGGTGGGGGGTCGGGTGGGGGTGGGGTATAAAAAAAACTATTTAAACTCCTATTTTCTCTACATTTTTTACATCTCTTCTTCTACAACTCTTCCTACTCTCTAATTCTCTACTCTAAATCTCTCATATTCAATCATCTTCATTCTTCATCTTCTCCAAATTCTTTCTACATATATATAATTTATATAATTATTATATCTACTTATATATTAATTATCTATTTAAAAATATATACTTATACACATTCATATTATAATTCTTTACACATTATATATACTATATAAGTATATATACTATACACATTCATATTCACTTGATATTTAGTTATTATCCATACTATTGTTATTTACTTATATTTACATATTACATTTAGTTAATATATACTTATATATATATATATATATATATATTAAAGTATTAAGTATAAGTGTATTACTCATCTTATAGTAATATACTTATATATTATATACTATAAACATTATATTATATATTACTTATAATATATTTACACATTATATATACTATATATACTTATACACATTCATATTTATTTGATATTTAGTTTTTATACATACTATTGTTATTTACTTATATTTACATATTACATTTAGTTAATATATACTTATATATATATATATATATATATATAAAAGTATTAAGTATAAGTGTATTACTCATCTTATAGTAATATACTTATATATTATATACTATAAACATTATATTATATATTACTTATAATAGTAGTTAATTGTTAGACTTTTAATTTATCTATTAAATTAGTTAATTGTTACATTTCTCTACATTTCTCTTTAAAGAAAAAAATAGTTAAAGTAGTATATTTTTACATTTGTCATATTTCAATTAGTTAAAGTACTTAATTGTTTCATTTGTCATATTAAAATTAGTTATTTCATACATTGCTCATTAAAGTAAAAAAAAACTAGTTAAGTTTTACATTTGTCATAATAATATTAGTTAAACTACTTAATTGGTACATTTTTCATATTAATATTAGTTACTTGCTACATTTCTCATTAAAGTAAAAAAAGTAGTACATTTTTACATTTGTCATATTAATATTAGTTAAAGTATACATTTCTCATTAAGGTAAAAATAACTAGTAAATTTTTACATTTGTCATTTTAAAAACTACCTAAAGTAGTTAATTGTTAAATTTGTCATATTAATATTAGTTAAACTACCTAATTGTTACATTTCTCATATTAATATTAGTTAATTTGTACATTGCTCATTAAAGTAAAAAAAAACTAGTTAATTTTTACATTTCTCATATTTATATTAGTCAAACTAGTTAATATTTAGTTAATTGATACATTTCTCATTAAAGTATTAATTAGAAGTAGTTCGATTTGTATACTCATATTTTAGTTCGAATTCGCAATAGTTTTCTTAGTCACATTTTATTATTACTATTGTACTCATATAAAATATTTGATATCATTTAATATTTGTTCAATTTTAAAGATGGAACGTGGTAGACATTCTGTAGATGTGGGTAATGTCACGCCCCGGACCTACCGGACACGTCAACAACCCGCCGTACAGTACGGATAGTCAACCGCAGTCCAACTCATCCATACTATACTAGGCGTCTTGAATACCATTCACACATAGTACATCCATAAACAAACATAATGAAAAATATTCATTTAAAGCAGCAGAAACATTAATAAAGTGTTTATGCCACACTTTGGCAAACATGGGCATACAAGCCCCCCAAATAATTATTCAAAAATAATATCCATGAGCATCAATTTAAATATTTTTTTTAAAAATGGAACGGAGGAAGCACGAACCACGTCTTCCTTCCTTGATCGTCCCGAAGCAACGGGCACTGGTAGCAAGCTCAACTCCTACCTGAAACTGTGAGGTGGCCTCCCCCGTGAAGGGGAGGTCAGTACTTGGAAGCATTTGACAAGTACAATGACAACTATACTAAGTATAATCAACGTTTTAATTTCCAAGACCCTCAAAATAGGGTGATATCATAATATAAATAATAATTTATATTTCCCACTTATTACCTCTATAATAAGTAAATTTATTTATTTGTCGGCACACGGCCCATTTTATATATCATTTCAATCATCGTTTACACGACACCGCCCGTAGGTCTTATCATTCTTACGAGACTTGTCACCGCTCTCCGAGGCCTCATCGGGCCCTCGGGCCGGAGTCCAACATCCCGCCCCTGAACTCATACCCATCATCCCGTAGGAAGGTAAGGTCCATTCGGGGTCCTATCTTATGTGTTACCGCTGTCGGGAGCCTCGTAAGGTCTCCGGTTCGGATTCCACCCTAACCCGTGATCACGATGTAAGTCCATGCTATCCAACCCCGCTCTCTAGAGTCGGGAAGGGCCATGGTCCTTACTATTTACCAATATCAACCGGCTAATCTCAAAGACTACCGAAATACACCCGTAGGCCAATCCTATACCTAGGGATCAATTTATTATTCACTTTATCTTGGGTATCCCTTAAGGCCTACCCCTAATATCACTTAGCTCATACTTATCCACCTTAGTATCTCTTAAGGCTACTTAAGGCTCAACATTTCACAATCCAAACCTTGGATCAATTCTAACATATTCTCATTTCCAATACCCCGACTAGTATCTTAATACTAGTCGGATAACTCCAACAAAAACCAATTTTCAGTTCATAGTCATATAGACAAATTCCAAACTAATTTTCCTTTGAAAATATAGTTCACATCAATATACAAAATATAACTTTTAATCACTCATATACTCTTATATGAAGTTAAAATTATATTTCAACATATAGTCTATAGTTAATTTCTTTACCAAGCCAACATGCTTATATCACATAATCATACACAATTTATTCTTAAATTTGTATATTATGCTCATTTTCCTTATTGACAATAGTCTTCTCATTCTTAGGCATTATTAATCATTAATAATCCTTAAAAAACATGTTTAATTACCTTAGGTAATCTCATGAAATTAACTCAAAGATTATAAGCAATATAGTCAGCCATCCTCACCTTATGAAGTGCTGAAATAGTTGCCTTTGTTAAGCCTTTCGATCAATCCCCGTTCTAAACCGATTGGAGATGAAAAATCTGGGCAGCAGACGAAAGCCGGGCGGCTTTTGCCAAAGGTGGGCGGCTTTCGTGGTCTGCAGCTACGAACAGCTTCCTTTAAGTGGCGGTTTCCGGCGATTCCAACTCCTATCGATTCCACGACTCTTCTAAGTTAAATACCACCACTTTATAACAATAGTATACACTTTTAAACGTGTAGAACTTCATGTTTAATTCATCGTATGATTTATTAAAAATCATACAAATTAATACTAGTTAAAGAAGACTTGAGTTCTTACCTTCCTTCTAGCTAGTCTCCTCTTTGGATTCCCTTGTTATTTGCTTCTTCCACTTTCAGACCTTGTGAGAGCTTCCTTTAGACCTCTCTCTCCCTTTTCTTGTGGTTCGAATGAATGGAATGGGAAGGGGGAAGGCACCTCTACTCAATCAAGCCTCAAAATAATGTTGAGTAGGGTCATTTGATGTTCTAATTTGACTTAGGCCATCCCTTCAACAGCAACTCCGTCCACCCCCATGTTTATTTGTCTCAAAGTGATTATTTTGAGGCCTTAAGTCAGATAAGAAATCCCCAAATGGGTGTAGGAAGTCCCTCCCAATTATTCCTGCTATTTTCGGTAGGCCCGGGCCGAAATAGCACTCGGGTTGTCCAAATATTTTTATCAACTTCGGTTGGCGTTTTATTGGACTCCTATAATTATTATGATAACCCAACTAAATATTTTGGTAGTCCGTTCGCACTTTACGGACCCGATAGATAATTTAATTAATCGTACATTAATTAAATATACGAATTTTGTCACACGAATTTTATTCTCTAGGAATATCAATTACATGCCAAATTTCAAGTTCAAGTACATCCGGGTGCGGTGTCACAGGTAATCTCCAACGCAACCGCAAGAGGGAGATTGCGTCGACTCGTCCTAATTCACGCAAAGGCAAAGGTAAAGCGCGAGCCGAGTCTTCTTTTCAAAGTCGAGATGATTTTGAAACGGATTACCAACGGAGAGATGATATGATGATGTCCGACGAGCATCTACAAAACCTATTGTCCCAAAACGATCCACGCTTTGCACAAGAACAACCCATCCCGACAACCATTGATGAAGAGGAGCTCGAGGATGACGATGCGGAGGAGGACGCGGGGGGCGACGGGACTCACGGCACCCCGGATGATGAGCAAGACTTGGAGGACGAGGGCGGTTCAACCCAAACTGGTAAGAAATCTAAATCTCCTATTATTGAAAACAATTTTACAAAAAGGAAAGACAAAATACCGAAAAATGGTACGCAAGTTGCAATCATTGCGGCAAAGAGTATAG